TCCAAAACACTAAGAGGCAAACGATTTTAAGTCCATCACTAAGACATTTTTTTAAGTTAGCAAATAAATACACTGCAGTTACTGTTATCTACAATAAAAAGAGAAGCAGGAAGAATGGATTTGTGATTGCTCAAATTATTTGAATATTAAATAGAACTTCAGCAAAAAATCTGAAGGATACAATGGTAGATACAGCACACTGGTTTAAATTACTCCAGGACAGTGATCTTGTCAACATCCTTCTCTGCAAGAATACTCTTTAAAACTGAAAATCAAATGACATCTGATCAAATACAGTACCAAAGGGGGAAAAAAGTTAATCTGAACATTCATATTCATTCCACAGCACCTTCATTTTTAACTTGTTGTGAAGTAGCTTACACTGAAATCTTTCACATTTTGGTCTTGAATACATTACTTACACAGATGATATGAGAGCAAAGACCACCTTATTAAAAATCATGTTTTTCTGAACAGGTCTCCTCACTTACTTGTACTCCACGAGAAAATTAGTGTGCCTTCTCTTCTGACATTAATGCTCGTAAGGCTCAGAGTACTGCAGAAGTCTCCAAGGAGGGGTGCACGAAAACCAAGAGACATGCAGGACAATTCACTGGGATGTGGAAGAGAGTATTTTTCCTTTAATACTCATCAACAGATTTTTTTTTTTCTTTTTTTTTTTTTAAGTGGTGCTTATCTTCATCTCATCATTTTTTATATCCTATTTGTTTAAATTTTATTATGTACATTACATAAATAAAGTAGCACATTATGTAAATTATAAATGCACATATACTGTGGGTATGAACTCGAAATCATTTTACTGATAGTTGCAGAATCAAAGAAGTTTGGTGGCCACTGTTATAGCCCATTAGGGAGTCAACCCCTGGCATAGAAAAAGATCTCCAATTCTGGGAGGGGGTTGTTTATTTTGTATAAGCCATGCCAATTTCCAGATTCAACTTAAAGTTGCTGAAATACATAACCACAAGACAAAGCAGAATTTGTATGCTTCCAGCAGCAACCTATGCTTGCATTTTCAAACCATAGCCTGTTAACAGTTCTATTATCTCCAGCTTCGCTGGAACCAAACAAAAAGTAGTAAGAACAATATGAGCAATTTACTAATGACAGTTCGAGGCTTTGTTATTCTACTGGTTCTGGATGGAAGACATCACAAAGATCAGATAAAAGAAAACTCATGCAACAATTTTGCAAAATACAAACTGTCCTTATAAAACAAACTCTGGAGAACTAATATAAAACTAACTGCTGCTGAAAATAGCAGTTTATTGCTTATCACAATCAAGGCAAAAAAATAAAAATTGTGTGGTTGCAGGATAAACGAGAATTTTCCACACAGATTTTAAAAAAACATTAGAACACCACTTTGCACAAAGCTAGTAAAGCTTCATCCAAGCTCATGAACACAGAAGTTCACCATTTTTCAAAAACTGTGAACAAGAACAGTTACAAATGAAAAGCTTCTGGGATATCTAGAAGTACAGTGACCAAGCTTGAGAACTTCTCATGTTTTATTTTAGCAGGACTAAAGTTCAGAAAGAAATAAAGGTACTGCTTACAAATATAAAGAAAAGAAAGAAAGATAAAAAGTGATCTGAATTAAATCACAGTAACTCAAGACCTATGAGGCCTCATGATTGACGACAGCTTTCAGCAAGGTGCTGCAAGAAGAATCCTACCTGCAGGAGCCAGCCTTACAAAAAAGGCAGCAAGGAGGAAGCAGCTTTCAGACCTCACATTACATCACCAGCTACCTGGATAGCCCAGAATCATCTTAAGTCTCCTACGGATCGTAAGCCCTGTCTTCTTCACAGACTACCACAGACAAACCAAGAAGTAGAAGAAAGTTGCAGCAATCATTCACCATTGTCAAGAGAGTACATATTCTTTGTAAAAAAAAAAAAATAGCGCCATGCTGTTTTTCCACTGTACCCAGTGTTTTAAATTGTAAGAGAAACTGCAATGTTCCTTCAACAAAATAAAATATCTTCTTTAATTTTTAAAGAACTCATCATCCAACTTGACTGAAAAATTAGAAAAAGTAATCAACCCTGATTTCAGATGACCCTGCACTAAGATTATCAATAACATTTTATTTACTTATCTTCCAATTCAGAGGACAGATATGTGACTTTTTGTGGAGAAGGTAGCCAGGCACATTTTTGTTCTAGAAGGAATGGCTTTTTTTTCCCCCCAATTTAATTTGGATAGCAGGGGTAAAGTTTGTCCTCTGAGATCACCATGTCAGTGTCTGTCAAAGGACAGGCTAGCACATTCATTAAGTATTTAGCGAACAACAGAACAAAGCTACCAGTAGAGGGCTTGGTCTGCACACAGACCACAGTTCTAAGTGGCTGAACAAAAGGCAAATTAATCAGAACAGTTCGCAGACTGTGAAGTTGCTCGTTTCAAAAATAATTTCCCCAGTTAAGGCACTTCCATACATTTTTGTAGGGCAGTAGATAACTTAAACAATTCAATTCGGGCTTTAAAAGCATCTACCTTCTGGAACTGTAAGGCGTGTGACATTATAGCACATTTACATTGAGGAAGACAAAAGACATTCCATATGCTTTTACAAGCTACAGTTTTACTTTAATAGGCAAAATATATTCCTAAACTCTAAGAAAAAAAGGAAAAAAAAAAAAAAAAAAAAAAAAGGAAATCAAGATCACTTATCAATCTTTGTTACGATTGAAGGAGATCCTCTCAGCAGGGCAGGGCACACCACTGCAAATACAACAAAAATATGAAGAGCACATAAGGTTGTTTTCCTCCCCCTTTTTGCTAATAATAACCATCTTCACAGCTGTAAGTCTCTGCAGACTGATGCTTCTGCATCACCTTATCTGTGACATTAGCAACTGTGACAGTATCACCAAATTACCGTTTCTCTACAAGAGAGATTAACACAAACCAAGCAGACAAGCAAAACACCAACTACCTTGGCTATCTGCAGCCAGTGATAAATGACAAGTCCCTTACTCGGAGCTTAAAATAAGAGAGAACATTGGTACTATGCAATCCATCCAATGAGTACTGAAGCATCACCCAGCTGTACTGCCGTAGCCACTTTTAAAAACAATTCCTTCCTACTATAAGAATGGCCAAACAACATCTCAGGTGGCTGGTCTGACACCTATCCTATCTTCATAAGACAAACTCCTGCAAAAAGGTATTCCTTCCGTATGTGCATCTTCCTCAAGCACCGCATCCTCCTCAAGCAGGACTGCTCTGTGAGAACAGAATCAGAACAACCGTTAGACAAATGATCTTGTAAACAAAGCTATGGAAAAAATACAAAATATATTCTTTCACACGCACTAGCATTAGCACTGCAGAAACACTGCCTATCAACATGCACTTACTTTTGAAAAGCAAGAAAAGTGTTGTGCAGACCTAGGGTAAGATGAAATAGATGAATTCAAGCAGCAAACACACTGTTGTGAGTGCTTCTAGATCAGTCTTGATGCAAAGTAACAGCCAATCTTGGTACACTGGATTAAGAAGCTATTCAAGGCCAAGAAAATGAATGGCAGTTCCCTGAGGAACAACGAGCATTTTTGTGGGGAAACAACAGATCTTTACTTAGTATACATTGAATTCAGTGCTGCTAGGATGTTTGTACCAACTGCCCTGCTAACACTTACATGCAATACAGCTTATGGCAGTACAAGCAAAATCACTGTTGATTAGAGAGTTTAATTTTTCAAGTTCATAAGAAGTTGGAAGGAAAAGATCAAGTCAGAAAAAAAAAAAAAAAAAAAAACCTTAGACACCTATCCATTCTGCTGAACAAATTAAGGCCATTTTAGAAATTAGTACTTTAAGTTCAGCAATGCTTACAATGTATCTATTTTGAGACCCTGTCCAAAGCAACCTATCAAGAACAATTCTTTTAAATTTGAATAAATGATGCTTATAGAAAGCACGGTTCCAAACTGTTTCATTATGCACCGAAATGCCTTAATGGTATCACGAAGAGCTTGCTGGGCTGCCGCAATATAAACACACAGAATACCTGCTTGCCAAGCTTAGGATTGCAAGACAGAGTTATCCAACAGCCTTCCCTTTCTGCTCCTCATCCCAGCTTAGAGCTGAAGTCAGAAATATGAAAGAAGTTTGGTGCGTTTCCCTTAGACCATATGGCTTATTTATAGTGGCTCTAACTTCACAAAAACAAGTGATTGGTCGATTTTGCTCCACACTAACTCAGAATCAGACTAACGGGTATCAGTCCTCAGCAAACCTAACAAGCAATAAGACTGTGCCACTACTGTTAGTAAGCATTGTGCTATCTAACCAGAACTGTGTCACGGAGACACCTCCTTGCATCACCAAACAATCCCTGTATCAGCTATGTTTCCAGAAAACACAGATGAATACGGATGCACTGAGCTGCCTAATGAGGGTCTGAAGCACCGGAGTCGTCAAAGACGACATTTTCTCATGGAATTCCTGCCTGACCGACTAGGAGTGAAAGATGGGATGGAAAGAGCTCTGGAAGCAGAACATTCCCCACTTCATTAGGATGCGGCCCACGTGCTCCCTCATTCCAATCGACCGGTGGAAAAACCAACTGAGGTACGCACACATCAGCGCGCTGCAGAACCCAGGGGGCTGCAAGGAAACAGCGCTGCAGTACTTTAACGCTCCACTCACAACACGGCCCTGAGATTACCTCTCGTTAAACCCCGCAGCAGCAGCGGCCGCCTCCTTCTGCAGCACCTCGCTGAGACGTGCTTCCTCCCTTTCCCTCCCCGCAGCGATGCCCCGCAGAGCCCGCAGACTCCGTTTGGCAGCGAACGGAAAACCGCTTCATCCGCGGCCGCCGCTCCCCGGGCTGCGGAGCACGGCCCCGGAACGCACAGCCGCAGCGCTCCGCCGGGCTCCGTCTCCAGCAAGGGGATGCACAGGAGGCGGCCCGACGTCCCGGGGGCCCCGCCGCCCCGGGGGCCGCCCCGAGGCCCGCTCACCTTGTCCAGCTCGTCGTGCAACTCGGCCAGGCTGGGCCGGATCAGCTTCTCGCCCAGGTCCGCGGCCGTGTGGCGGTAGTGGTCGATGCGGGGCACGGCGTCCATGGTGTTGTGGCCGAAGGTGCGCAGGTAGTAGGTGTTGGTGTGGGTGTCGTAGTAGTAGTGGTGGTGCCCGCCGGAGTGCAGGCTGCCCTCGCTCAGCACCGTGTCGCCACCGTTCTGGAAGCTGACGTTGGCGCCCTCCGAGCTGCCGCCGGCGCCGGGCTCGCTGGGGCTCTCGTCGCCGGCCGACGGGTCCACGAAATTCACCCGAAAGCGGCCCTTGGCTTCCTCGCTACCCTTCCCCGCCGCGTCGACTTCTCCGTTGGCCTTGCGGGGCGCCTCGGCCACCAGGTCCACCTGGAAGCGGCTCTGGCTCGGCGTGGGTCCCAGCGGTCTGCCCGGTGTGTCGGCACCCGCATCTTTCCCCTCGGAGCACGGCTCTCCACCCGCGGCCCCCGGCACCTTCAGCTCGCCGGGGCCCGGCTCCCGTTGAGGCGGCTGCTGCTGCTGCTGCTGCTTTCCCTCCATGGCTGCTCCCTGCGCTGCCGACCAGTGCGCGCGGCGGCGGCCCCGGCTGCTCTGAACGCCCCCCGCGGCGGCGGCTCCGCTGCTTTAAGCCGCCAACCAGCGCCCGGGGCTGCAGCACGCCGCAGACAACGCAGCGCCGCGCCCCGCCCCGCCGCAGCGCCAGGTGATGATGCCGCCGCCGGTGTGGCCGCCGCCCTCGACCCCCGCTCGCCGCCCGCCCCCTCCGTCCGGCTCTGCCTCCCGCCGCCTGACAGCGCCGCGCGGGGAGGAGCGGCCGCGTCACCGGAGAAAGAAAGAAGGAAACGACGCTCGTCGCGCCCCCCGCCCCCTCCACCTGAACCCCGCGCCGCGGAGAGAGGAACTGGGACGCGGAACGGCCTGGCCGCGCCCCTCGCTTCCCCGCTCGCGAAGAGGCGGGATGCGGGGGGCCGCCCGCTCCTCAGGCTCCGCCCGCTGCCGGGGAGGGCGGCGGCGGTACCACGCGGAACGAAACGACGGTGGAGCCGCCGCATCCGCCCCGCGGGGAGCGGCCCCGAGGCGGAGGTTGGGGGGGAGGAAGGGAGGGGGAGCGCGGCGCCCCGGCTCTCCCGCCCCGCCGAGCCCGCCGGCGCGGGGCCTTGTCTCGCGAGAGGAGCGTGGCTCCGGCCCGGAGCCCCCGGGAGGAGGCGGCTCCGCAGCCGCCGGCGTGGCGTTCTGGAGCCGCATCTCGATCCTTCGCGAGCGCGCTATCTCTGCTCGGCGCGGGCGTGAAGGGGTCTGGGGGGGGTCCGCATGTGCGGCTCGGATAAGCGAGCGCGGAGAAAGGTGTACGTCCGTGGGTCAGCGCGGAGCTGCGTGCTCTGCGGGTGCCCACGAGGTCACCACGGAGCGGGAGTGGGTGAACACTGCGCTCCCCTGCCGGCCTCCAGATGTCTTCCGAGCGCAGTGTGGAGTCCTTTCTGTGAAGCACTTCTTTCTGCATAAATTGGTACCAGTGATGTCTCCTTCCTCTGTCCTGTGCTGCAAGTAACCAATCCTTCTGTATCAATAAAGATGCCTGCACAACCCATTAGGACATGCGAAGGTAGTTCTGAGGCTTGAAGGGGAACCTTGGAGTGATGTGAAAACCTTCTGCTCTACAGTATCAGGTCAGCGCATACACTGTCATTATTCATTGCTATCTGTTTTATACATGTGCAAATCATAGCTCACAGAATGGGAGGAAACTCAGGCAACAGTTTCCCCCCACCTCCCACTTCTCAAAAAAATAATTTGATATTAGGAATGAGTGAATAAAGGAGATGGGGGCATTGATCTTATTCTCAGTGTTACCTTTTCAAACACTTCTACAAGAGAACAAAAATCACTTTGTTTGTTTCTTTTTGAGAAATTCCTGGTATGCTCCAGAACTTCGGAGTGTGACAGATTACAAAAGACAGGATTCAGGAAATGTTCACACTATATGAAGTATAATTGTGAAAATCAGCGAGTGAGCTGGAAAGTAAAAAGGTGAAACCGTAGTAAAGTTTGGCTTCTGCCGGGCAGTAAGGTCTTTGAAAGGAGTGGATGATGTTAGAATAAAGGTCTTCAGCTCAAAACTGGAAGCAAACTATGATTCTGTGATTGAAACACCGCTTTAATAACTGGTGATATGCAAATAAAACCCAACATTTTCCATAAGCAGGCATAAAGATCAGATGATCCTACCTGTGAAAAAATTGCCCTGTTGTCAGGGGTTTGGAAGCGATTTGGAAATAGTTAACAAATTTCTGTCACTTCTCTGTACTAATAAATAACAATAGGAAAGAGGAGGGAAACATCTCCTGAACTGCTGTATGCAAAGGAGAATGGAGAGCTTATATCATGATAGTTTGCTATTTTAATTCAAGCAATATTCATGTGTATTGCTAGATGGGTACTGATTACACTTGCAAGGCCTACCACCTGTTTAATGTCAGTTCTCATTTTGTCCTTATGTTTGTACTGCAGTGCTCAAACATTTTGCCTGCCCTGCAGTTCTGCATTCCCAGAGTCAGTGCAGGCCCTAGTTGTACTGAGGGAAGCCACAGCCCTGCCTGAGAGTAGTGGGTGGAGGCAGATGGAACCCTGGTAAAGCAAGCTTGGAGAATGGTGTTCTTCTTAGAAGCAGGAAGAGGTTATTGGGTGAAAGGAGTACTCTGGTGGGAAGTGGGGCACTGAAAAGTCCTGAGGACTTTCTAGTAGTAGAATACTAGGAGCATGTGAATCCAGATCGGGGAGATCCTCATGGGAATAACAGGAAATGACAGGGTGTAGAGCTCTTAGCAAGTGAAGTGTGTGTGCATTCATCTTGTGATATGAGATGATGAACAGAACCACAGAATTGTTTGAATTGGAAGAAGTCATTGAAGGCCATCTAATCCAACTCCCTTGCAATGAACAGGGACACCTACAGCTCCATAAGGGTGCTCAGAGCCACATCCAGCCTGACCTTGAACGTCTCCAGGGACAGGACATCCACCACCTCTCTGGGCAATCTGTTCCTATGCCTCACTACTTCTACTGTAAAAAAACTTCTTTGTATCCATTCTAAATCTCCTCTCCTTTAGTTTAAACCATTTCCCCTTCTCCTATCACAACAGACCCTGCTGTCTGTCCCCTTCTTTCTTATTCTTCTTTCCTTTAGGTACCGAGAGGCCTCTATCAAGTCACCTGAAGCCTTCTGCAGGCTGAACAGCCCCAGCTCTCTCAGCCTGTCCTCATAGGAGAGGCATTTCCTCCCTAGGATCATTTTTTATGGCCCTTTTCTGGACATGATTCAACAGGTCCATGTTCCTCCTCTGCAGAGGACTCCACATCTGGACCCAGTATTCCAGGTGAGGTCTCACCAGTACCAATTAGAGGAACAGGATTACCTCCCTCGTCCTTCTGGCCGTGCTTCTTTTGCTGCAGCCCAGGATATGGTTGGCTTTCTGGGTGGTGAGGGCACATTGCTAGCTCATGTACAGCTGCTATCTACCGGTCCCCCAAAAGAGCTCAATCCTTTCATCCCTCAGCTTGTACTGATTGTGGGTGTTGCCACAGTCCTGGTGCAAGACCTTGCACTTTGCTCTGTTGAACCTCATGAAGTTCTCCCAGGCCCACTGCTCAAGCCTGTCTGGGTCTGTCTCTATGGCATCCCATCTCAGGTGTGAGAGCAGACCTGGGGACACTATTGTAGTCCACATAGCATACAGGGAAATAGGAGACCCAAGAATAGGAGGGAGATCTATAAAGTAAAATACAGGCTACTCAGAATTGAAAGCATGAAAGAGATTAAGAAATACCCCTGTATGGAAAACAGACAAGTAAAGAGACTGAGTCTTCATAAAGGTCTTGGGGCTTCATATACCCAAAAAGTGAGAAAGGTGACAGAATCTGTAACAGTAAATGGGAATAGAAGGTGCACAAACATCCTAATTGGACTGCTATGTAAAATATCATTGATTTAAAAAAAAAATTAAAAAAAAGCATTTTGAAAAAAAAAAGCATATTCACTTTAACCTCTTGGCATAGCAGTACTTAAAATACTAAAAATATAATGGAACCTGGGTGTCATTGGTGAATAAAACAAAAACAATGCAGTAAATAAAGAGAAGAAATTACTCCAATACCAGCTAAGATTATTTACCACACATTATTACTTAGAAATGGTAAGGGCTTCAGCATCCTGTCAAAGATGCAAAAGCACGTTCAGTTCTGGCTACTTAAGAAGCATTAGATTACAACCTGCATGTGGATATATAGTACATACTCATAAATGCACATACACATGGGAGGAAGTACCATATGCAGTTGGCTCAGTGGCAAAGATACCTTTCTTCAACAAATATACTCTTTTGACACTGAAGGACATTAGAAGTGCTTGTCAGCATGGCCATCAGCATTACTAAAAGTAATCTAACATCTACATGAACCTGAACATTAGAAAATCAAAGCTGAACAGCTGTGCTGGGTTGGCAAAGAGCTCATTTAGTCCAGTAACTAGCCAGAAGCAGTTGGCCACAAAGGAAAGGCTGTCTGAGGGCAAGGCGAGCAGGTACTTTCCCAGACTCAAAGATGCTGTGGCTAAGGGACTAGACAAGCCAGAGGTGCCTTCTCTTCCATGGAGCTGTCTGTTCTCCGCTTGATGCTAAACAGTGTTAAGCTTTTGCAACTTCTTGTGACGTTGTTTTCTAAGTGTAAATGACCCTTTTTTGGCCTGGGATCTGCCATTTGCTAACTTCACTGTGTACTCTGTATTGTTTTCCTGATATTCAGTATGAAACACTGGAAAATGCAGCCTCTTTGTGGCATTATGATTATTAGTTAGTTAGACCTTGACGAGATCTCTCTCCCACTTGCCTCTTTTCCCAGCAGAACTGTAATTAATTCCTTCCACCTATGGATACTGTTCTACACATCACTGTTACTCTGTGGTTCTACCAGCTCCTTTCTGAGATGCACAGTGTTCCAATTTGTGAGTCCACTGTGGACATCTTTTCATTTTGCAAACAGACCACTTAGTCCTATTCTCTTTATTACCTTGAACTAGCTATTTATCAAAACATTTACCATCCCTCTTATTTCAAGATTCCTTAGTTTCTTTAAGAGCCCTTCACCAGAAATCTTCTTGAAAATGTACCGGAAAACCACAATGAATAGACTTGAATAAGCTTCACTTAGATGCTTGTGAACGTCAGCAGTATTCTCCTGAAGTACGAGTTTTGAGTTCCTTAGCAGGCTCCAAAACTCCTACAAGTGGCATTACAAAGGAGAAGATATAGGACATCTCGAAAATCGTATTTACCTGCTTAGCCACTGATTCCAGTGCTTTGTTATAGTTTCTCATTATTTGTCTGGTAAAAGATACTATCAGGCTTACAAGTTCAGCAGTTCCATCCCTGAGCTTCTCCAGAGCTGAGGGCTGAATGCTGTTTGGACCCAGTGCCTCCCTGCTGTTTAGGCAGATCCCTCCTTCATGCCTTGCACAGAAGGGTTCTAGTAGGGGAACTTCTCTCACC